GAATTTGAAAAGTACTGGTCCCAAAACTGTTCCTTGGGGAGATGGGCAGGGGGAGGGAGCTATTGTTTGTCAACTAGCAGAACTATCCATTTATTGCTGCTCTCTGCTTTCTGTTCTTTAATCAGGCGTCAATTTATATTTTCTTTAACCAGTTATCAATTTATATGTATTTTATCTATTTATTGTATGCCATCCTCAGCATTATTTATTTGTACTGTGACATCTCTCTTTTGATATAAAATTAACTAAAAATGCATAATCTTATATTTCAAAATTAGAACCGACCTAAATATTCCTGTCTGTTTTTGAGAAGGAAGTGAACACCTATAATATAATTATAAGTTGAAAACAGTAAAAAAAATTGTCAGGCAGATAAACCTGATTCAATGACGCCATACTGTATAACTTAAATTCTATTAATTAGTTATATTTTCTAGACACTGAAATAGCACACTTACCTATTAACCTCTCATGAAGGAATAAGTTCCAGAATTTGGAAATTCTAATTAGATGTGTTTACTACTACTTTTTAGCTGGCCATTGTGTGATTTTCATCAGAAAAACATCCCCGACTAGCTTCTGTTAATCCTTATCCAAGAGCCAGTTCTGTCCCTCCAAAGATGTAGAACAGAAGTTGGCAACCTACAACCCATATTTGGTCCTTGGCATAAACATAATCCAACTATTAATAACCTTGCCTACTTTTCCTGCTGGCCAGGTAGATCAGCTGGCTAGCAAGGACTAGATCATTGGTTTCTCGTGTTAATGGTAAACTGGTTGCCTGCTCTACATTACTGATTTTTGTGTAACACAAAGAATACATCTATAAAAAGAAAGGTTGCAACATTAAAGTACAATCCACCAGTCTTTGATTGGCAGAAATACATTCTCATAAAATTTGTTGCCCCAGTGGCCAAGCCTTTTCTATCTCAGAAGTCAGGTGTTCTCTCCTACAGCCCAAGTCAAAATGGCTATGGAGGGCAGTTCCCAGTAACTAGAGGGAAAGCGTAGGCTGCAGCAGCATATTGTAACTAACAGGAGTGAGCAGATTCCAACTCCTGACCACATCATCAAGCATAAGTAGATAAAGTGTGCTAGATCATGTCTGTGGCAAAAACTTTGTCAGAAGACTTTAAAACTGGAAGAGCTAAAGACTATGCCATGAGTATATTAAGGAAAAAAGAAGTTATTCAGACATATTCGTGCCATGGTAAGGAGAGCAGGTGGATGAGCTCTGAATTTCATTTATTCAGACATATTTAATTGTATCAAGGAAATGTGTATCCCACCAGCTTTGGTTTTCTGTTTTACTTTTATTTTTGTTGTAAAACATTGCAGGCAGCTGTAAAATCAGCCTGTATAGTAGGATTATTGAGTAAGAGAGCAAGAAGCAATTCTGGAGAATTTAGAAGGTATTACCAACCAAACTATAACCATGGCTCCTAATCCTCCCCTAGAGATGTTATTTAATGCATTAGATACATAACTGATATCAAGAATATTTGTTAAAGATTACAAAAGAAAGGGGAACCAGTATGCACAATTTTGTTTGCAAGGTCAGGTTTTTTAAAGCAACATTTGTAGATTGGAAAGATATAAATATATATCAAATAAGTACATAAATGGAAGATTACCTTTAAAGTTATCAGCCTAGATCCATTTAGATCCCTTATTGATAAATCTGAAAAACTACAGTTTTTTTCAGATTTATCAATTTATCAAAATTTTTCAGATTCATCAATCCTTTTGGCTTCTTAGGAAGAATGGCATAAATCCCTCAGGTACAATGGAATGTGTCATCCAACCTTTTCAGGACAAATTGACCTGTCTAAACTTTATTCTGGAATAAGAGATATTATTAATAAATGAATACATATAAAAGTGAAGACCTACAATCAAAAACCAACATACAATTCAATGCTTCTCTCTCTCTCTCTCTCTCTCGACCCCCCCCCCCCAAATAGTTACCTGTGAATTTGTAGAGGAGGGGATGTCATCTTATATTTGTTAAGAATAACAGAGGGCAATGCTGAAAACAAGGGACTGGCTTGAGATGTAAACATACCTGTTGAAAAGCATGGATACCTTTGAAAGTTAGCTGTTCCTTGAAACAAATATTTGCCTGGTGAATGTAACCTTTTTGCTATGCCCAAGCAGCAATTCTCTCTCTTTTCTTTCTTTTCCTTTACTGTTCAGTTACCTCTTTTCCTTACCTCATATCCAGCTGCTTTTGCTCTTAACTTTCTCTTTCCTGTCCTCTATCTACATGGAAATCTATATAGGCAAGAATGTTAGACATCTGTGCAATGTATTTGTACATATCACAATGGAAACGAAGATATTTCAAGATATACCTTCAAGTAAGATTCTTGTGACACTTTACAGACTAATACTTTTATTATAGCATAAACTTTTGTGGATTACAATCCACTTGTTACAATACTTGTTACAATAAAGTTATCAAATGTTAAAGAAATATAAGACTTTAAAACAACTGGTTTACTTATTAACCATATAAAATATATTTGTTTACTGCATTTTGTAGTAGCAAAATTTGAATTCATATGAATTAGTTTATATTCAGTGATCACATTAATTTTAATTTTCTCTCTGAGAAGCAAGTAGACCACCTTGGAAAAATTCTTATATTCACCTCGTAGGGAATAAGCCCCACTGAAGTTATTGGAAGCTGTCAGTAGTCTCATATGGGATTGTACTGATATTTTAAAAGAATTAGCTTATTGTAATTTAATCTTGTTTTAATGTTTTTAAAATTATTTTTGCCTTCAGGTCAGTATTTTTTACTCTTGACAACTGCCTGGACAATCGCTGCAATTTTCTTGGCAAGATTTCAGAAGTGGTTTGGCATTGCCCCCTTCCTAGGGCTGAGAATGAGTGACTGGCCCAAGGTCACCCAGCTGCCTTTGTGCCTAAGGTGGGACTAGAACTCATGGTCTCCTGGTTTCTAGCCTGGTGCCTTAACCACTACACCAAACTGGCTCTTATGTAATAGTAAAACAATTCCAGATAAATAGCAAAAATACTCCCATCATAGTGGGACAGATCCAAACCAGGATTGCAATCATATAGCTATGCTGAACTCAGTGACACTTCTAAATAAAAATGTGTAAGCAAATCTGGGGAAGGTGAGAATCCAGTTAATTACAGACTGATTAATGTTTTTTCTAGATAAACTAGTGAAACTGCTTATTAAAGATAGAAATCATCATGCACAAAAAGAAGTTTTGTTAAGAAAGAATCAATATGATTTCTGGATACATATGTCCTTTCACAATAAACTTCCAAAATTATTTTATTATTTATTTATTTACTGAATAAACTACAATTGGCTGGTTTCACACTGTACCCTAAGCCATGGATCAATATTTCTAAGCCACTGTGGCCAGATTTAAATATACACAAAGTCTTGGTTCATATAACTCCATATGAACACTGGAGTTGGGTGGCTAATAAATTTAAATAAATAAATGATTTATTGAATAAATCACAATTAGTGGGATTCACATGACACTCTTAAGCCATTAACTATGGTTTATAAACCATAATCTCTGTAGTTACCCAACATATTAAGCTAAAACCAAACAAACCACATTATGGCTTAGCACAACACATGAATCAGGATACAGAAATAGGCAGTGAGGTGACTAAGTTTGCAGATAACATCAGCTTATTAAGAATAACTAAACAAAAAGGATTAGTGAAAGAATAAATGTTAAAATGCCAAGCATGTTTTAGAATAAAGAAACATAAAGTGAGCATATTAGAGCAAAATTCTGACTTCAGATATACAGTACACTTAGGTAAGAGAAACTGACCACAAAAGGGATCTTGAGTTTATGGTAGATAGATCAATGAAAAATGTTGCTCTAGTTGTGCTGCTCTTGTGGAAAAGACACAGCACAATGAAGTACTTGGAGGTCATTATGAAGCAAAACTGAATTTGTCAATATTATAACGCTTTTCTACAAATCTATGATACATCCACACTTGGTACATGTTTGCTAGAAGTACCACAAAAAGGATGCCATATAACTGGAAAAATTGCAAGTTAATCAAGAAACTGGAACAACCTCCCTGTGAGTTATTTGACAATTAGGAAGCCATACAAATCCAGTCAATGTTTTCTCATCACAATTCAAGGTGTAAGTTTTACAGCTGAAAGCCGTAATAGTTTAGGATTTGAATACTTGATGAAGAGTTTATCTTGATATGAACCTGTCTGCACATTAAGAGCAGTAGGAGAAGCTATCTTGAAAATGCCTTCACTTTCTAAGGTCCATTTCTTGGAGACATAAGGAAGAATCTTCTCTGTGTGGCTCTCAAGTTGTAGAATGTACCCCCTCTTCAACCCTTGTTTTTTCTACTTTCAGAAAAAGTATCTAGATCATTTTCTTCAGTCAGGACTTTCAGTTTCAATTTAGTTTAATAATGACAATTTCCTAACTGTACTGTAAAATATTTTAAGCATGAGTGTCTTTACTCTGAATACCTGAAAAGCAGAATATATATTGTAAAAATAAATAACAGAATCGAAGGTAATCCAGTGACGCTGAACATGAAAGATTTGGCAAAGAAAACAGGAAATGTTTCATGGAGATCTTATTTAAAATGTGGAATTTGGTGTTTTCATCAGGCATGGGCAGACAGCTTTAAACAAAGCTCAGAGAAATTCATGGGGCCTTAGACTCCCACTTGCTGGAGAACAGGAGGCTAAACATGCCATTACCGTTGTGTGTTGCATGCCAGCTTCCCCAAACAACTGATTTTAACAGTTTACTTTTCTTAAGAATGACTAATTGGCTAGATAGGCCTGATCCAGCATCTCTAAGGTCCCCAAACCCAATCTCTGCCGAATAACTCTTTAATTTAAACTCTTAACTTTTTAATGAAGACTTCCTGCACAAGAGAGTAAGGAATCAGTTTTAAATCACGTTGTTTAAAATTCGGTTGTTGAAAATAAGTTTACTTGTACAATTCTTATAAAGTTACGTAAAACGCCGAGCACATAAAAATACTATAAATTTAGGAAGAAAGACTAGTACCTCCATTCTCTCCCGTCAAACATATGGAAGGAACCAGTTTTGATACTATAAAATGGCCAAGAAAGAAACCACCAATCAAAAGTTTAGAGGGAAATACCTCGGGAGTTACTTTGCAATCCTGTAGATCACCTCCTCGGAGGCTCAACAGGATTTATTCTTAAATAATTTCATCTAGGACTGTAGCCTTAAACACGCAATTTAGTAAGGGAAATCCTTCTCTGGAGGAATCTATTAGAGACCATGGCTTAAATCTGGAGTTTTAAATCCCCGCCGCACCAAAACTAAAAGGAAAAAAGCTCGCTTTCTTTTTTCATCCTGCAGAAGAACTTTCTCATTATTGTAACTTCCTCGCTCCCCCAGTGGGCGTTTCCCAGACTTCAAGGAAAAGAAAATTCAAACCGCCGTCTTTCCCAGGGGCCTTTTTCCCTTCGCACACTCCTCGCGCACACGCTCGGAAGAAGAGGCGGGGCAGTTCGGGGCGCGGGCTCTTTTTTGCGGGGAACGGTTTCAAGAGGACGAGCCGGAAGTTGCACCAGGCCTGAGCCGGCCTGGACGCGCCGCGAATGTCGTTAGGGAAGCGCGGCGGGTGGTTTCTTGAGCGAAGCTTGATCTGGCGTGGCTTTCGCGGACAACGCGTGTGGCGATCCTGAAGGTGAGCTGCGCCCTTAATCTTCCCCGGGTTATAAGCTGCTTTAGGGCGGGAGCCCACGCTCCCGTTTTGCTAGCCCCATTTTTCGCCTCATGCTGCGTGGTCTGGCTTCACCACATATAACAGCATGTTCTGTGCTATGTGGTGTAAGTGATATCCTTACCTATGGTCCTCCACGTGTAGTGAAACATGGCTGCTTATCTGCGCTTGGGGAGAGCCGTGGCTCGGTGCGTGCTTGAACACGGTTTCACTGCGTTGCTGCGCTGTCGTGTATCCAGCTGCTTTTGGGCATACGCAGCCAAGACTGGGAATAACTTCCACGAACATCTGTGTTCAAGATAATGCCCTTCAGATCTGTCTGACTGCATCTTCCAGAAGTCTCTAAGATAACTGGGAATTCTGGGAGTTGTAGTTCTGTGCACCTGGAGTTCATCAGATGGGGAAAGCTCACCTAGGACTCTTTTCTTATGGAAACCAGATGTTGGGTTTTCTAGAAGGTGTGGTTCTTAAGGGAGATCCTGGAATTTCCTGAGAGTAAACTCAATTGAACTCCATAGGATTTACTTCTGTACACATGGTTTATATAAAAGACAGAATTCTGTTGTTTTGCTAATTTCACCCTTGTTTTGCACTATATTTTTAAAAGCAACGCTGTCCTCATTAAATTCTTTGTAAGTTTTAAACAACTGCTTCCATCTCAGGATGCAGATTTTATCTAATCAACATATAGATTTTTACTTTTTTCAACTCTGAGGATTGTAGGTACAGTAATAAGACAAGCTGAAATTCCCTTTTATAGAAGTGTGTGGTCAGTATAAACTATCATGTCGGGGCATTCCAGTCCTCTAGATAATTTAATTATATATGTGGTAACTGTATATAGTGGCCTTACATCAGATATCTCCAGAGAAATGTCTAGTTTCACTTATATGGGGGACTTTAATAAAAATGGATTATTATTCATGTAGAGCTCCATTACATGGCACATAGACGTGTTGATGGATAACCCCCCTTGCTTTGCTTTTAGTATATGATTGGTATACACTGTTTTTACTATAATTGATCATGATTCTAGTATTTATTTTTATTCAGTACTATATCCCTTAGTTTAGAACACTGTATTATGAGCATAAAATGTTGTTTTCTAAAGGCTGGTTCACCACTGTCTACTTATTGCATGTTTCTCATTTATTTATATTTATTAAAGCAATTTATATGGCCACCCAACTCATAGTGACTCCGGGCAGCTTACAGAAATAAAACCCCAAATTCAAACCCACTACACCCCCCCCCCGATGATGTTTCTCAGTTATCCGGTCATCATTGTGCTAATATAACAGTAATGAGGACAGACTTTATATTGCTTCAGTGATGGTTAGACAATGCTGTTAAGTGAGTAACGGGGAAGTTCTGTAGCGCAAAGGAAGCTGAAAAACAGTTACAAATGTTTTGTGTTATATGATTTCAGTGGTGTGAACTTGGATTCTTGGATGCTGACTTATTTAATATAATTGCTACATATATGTTTATGGACTATATTTTCAGATGCACAGTACTACTACTTAATCTTAACTGCAGAAAACTTTCAAGGAAATGTAACAGCCTTCAGTATATTTTCTATCAATGTACATATATAATAACTGTCCTTAATCCATGAAAATTTATAACACTATATAGTCATATTCATTAATCCATAATATTTTGATATTTGTTTCCCAGTGACTAGGATTAATAGTATAGTTGTGATTCCTTGTCACATCAGGGAAATAGGCAAACATTGTATTTGCTATGTTCTGTCATGTGTATGTTCTCATGATATTCATTTGTATAAATGTTTTATGTGGTAATAAAATATTTTATTAGATAAAACTGAGTGGAACCATTTCAGATAGCAAGTGTAATACTAAAATTGATAAAACACATATTTGAAAATGGCATTTCTTAACATGCATCTCAAACATCTTTTTGACTGGAGCAGTGACTTCCTAATTTGTATCTGTATAGTTAATGCTGAATTCTATTATCCTTCTCATGCCAGAAGGTATACTGAAAGTATTAAAAGTGATTGTGGACTTCTAATATTTCTTAGCATTCTTCTATGAAACTATTGTGTAAAAATTCTGCTTGCTTTTATTATCCAGCGTCACTATTTTTTACTTCCTTCAATTGTTCATTGTGTTCCACTATGATAGGCCTCAGGCATAGTGCTAAAAAGCTGCAGTATTGCCATGTTGCCTAACCTCTTGTCAATATATTATAATATAGTAGAAATCACTATGGATCAATATGTACAAGATAAATAGTATTTGCCAATGTGCCTTGTTGCAGGTAGCTACTCCATTTAACCTACAGTGATGATGATGTTGGTGGCATTTTCTGTTTGTTAAACAGAATTGTAGCCCATGAGATAGAGACTGGGAGACTTTTTCTCAAATTTATTTTCACAAAGAAATAATGAAATAATTTAAATAGAAACAGCAAAGAACTCTCTGCAATCAGGTCATAAGGATACATATAAACAGTGCAGAAAAATAACAGTACATTCCAAGCAAATGCCTTGATAAATGTAAATTAAATAATGGGATGCACAAAAATGAGAATTTTGTGGTAATGCTATAGGAGGGACCACCTCATGATTAACTATTTTTGAAAGAATGAAATGTTTAAACAGAGCATACAATCTTCTGTTTTCCAGTTTGGGCATTACAACTACTGTATATCCATAGCCAAACTAGCGTATTTGGAGCCTTGGTCCAATACATCTAAAAAGGACCAGGTTTTATTTATCTGTTTTTTTCTGTGCTTTTGCCAAACTTTTTGCAAATCAGAAAACTATTCTGTCTTTTGTGCCCTGTAGTGGTCATAAAAAAGTTCATGGGAATTATTCTTCTGTGGTGAGGATGGCAAGGATGGATAAACAATGGTAATTGTAATCAAAATGTTTTTCCCCAAACTGGAAAATTTAGTTTTATTCCATATAGCTTTATATCTACAACCTTCCAGCTTTGTCCAGTTTCTGTTCCTGTAATACATAGTGTAGAGACAAAGCTCTTATGCACACTGTTTTTAAAAACAATAGTATTGCAACATTAGATTATAAGAAGCCTAGCTTCCCTAATTTGAATTCTTAAACCAATTAATGTGGCACAGGACGTTTATATGAAGAATCAATATTACTTCAGTAGACTAAGAAGCCTGGATTCTCATCTCATCCATTAGTTTGGATTTCTAGGCACTGTCACCATTCATCAGGAAAAGCTAAAGGAACACTGATCTCCCACACAGACATAATTGCAAGGTCATGCTTGCCATTACACTTTGCTATGAATTCTGATATCTCTGTATAGAGCACCTTAGCGTTACAGGTTTTGTTTGCTCTGCATTGTGTGTACTTTTTGCATCAAGGGCATGTAAAAACCTTGCAACAAGAATACTGTAAATACATTAATAGACCAAAGAACTGTAGTGTATGAGTATTAATTTACTTGTATCCATATAGGAAATGTTGATAGTTTTATACATTTGTTCAGTTTACAATTTTTTTCTGCTTCATTAAGCAGCAATCCCCAGTATGCTTTCCTTCACTGCAATATAGTTTACATTTACAGTTTCTTGAATAAGTTTTAATTTTTCATCCAGTTGATCATGTATGTGAGGTGATGCCATTTGTTTTGATCATGATGGTTTTATATTTATACCTATCTCACTTCCTGTGTTTTTCTTTTGCAAAATATATACATGTGGTTTTGTTAGCATAATTGTTCTGTGCCCAGATTCCTGATTTATGATGAACTTTTCATAAATCTCATTCCAGATGTTGCAAGCTCTAAAAGGAATAGGAGAAATAATCCACATAGATTCAGTATCCTGCTGCAAAGAAGTAGGGCAACATTGTGTCCATATATAAACCAATAAGTGTTTCACATTTTTCACATACAAAAATGAGTACTATATAATAAAATAATGATAATAAAGCGGCAGTAGGCAAGATTTTTGTTTATGTTCAACCAATCTATATTAGAGCGGGTTGTTGGAGTTCCATACTCTCATGCCTCAAAGATAAAGACATTTTCTTCCACATCTAATGTCCTGGTGTTGTGTATAAATATACTTCTGAGTGCTATAACACAGACAGCCTCAAAAGCATATTTCAAGTTCATCTAGATCTAACGCTTACATGAATGTTTTTGCTAATACAAATCATAATCCCTGTCTTCTCAAATGTGCATAGAGTTCGGAAGCTAATTTGGATAAGCCTAATGTACCTTCATATGTACATGAATGTTCCTATTATTTGCATTTTTCTCTTATATGATTATGTTTAAGTAAATGTTTTCTTTTTAAATAGTGTATTGAAGTCTGTAAGATTTCCCTGGAAACAAAAATAAATAAAAATATGTGTGTGTAATATATATATATATATATATATATACATACATACATACATATACATATACACACACACACACACACGTGTATGTGTGAACTATGTATATATAACCATATGTAGATACATATATATATATACATACATACATACATATACAT